TATATATATATATATATATATATATATATATATAGAGCAGGTGAAATGAAAGAGAGCGATAATAACAGCTAAATAAGACATGCAACTCTAATAGCTTTATACTTCATCGTGCTTTTGCTGAATTCTGGCTGCTTCACGCTCCTGGTGCATTCTATCCAGCTGTCGTTGCTGCTGTTCCATCAACCTTTGCTGCTCTAATTGACGCTGCTAAAATAGAAAACTCTCAACATCGCAGAAGACTCATCCACTAAACGTCAACTTCAGTAAGTTCGAAATTTTATCTGCGCATATCAGATACCACAAAACAAAGAGGAGAAACAAAATCTTCAGTATTAATCCAATTCGGTCGACAAAAATTATTTTAAAACATATTTAGAAGACCTGATGCTGTTGCTGTACCGCTGCTTGCTGAAGCGCTTGTTGATACTGCTGTTGCTGCTGCAAAGCTGCTTGCTGCTGAAGAATTGCAGCCTAAAGCAAAATACGCTTCCTACTACTGTTGCCATTATATCTCTTTTAGACTCAGTTAAAAGAAAGAAAGACTCATTTTAACGACTGTTCCAACTAAAACCTGTGGATTATGTCGCGAAAGCACCTGTGATGAATCTTGAACGGACTGTTGCTGTTGATGTTGCATTGCTTGAAGAAGTTGCTGTTGTTGAAATGCTTGCATATCCATCTGATGTTGTTGGAACATCTTGAAAAAATTTTACTCGGAAATATCGCTTTTCAAAAATACGAAAAAAACCTGTATATTAGAGAAGGTAAAGCCTTGAAACGTTTATAAACCTTAAAGACTATTTTAAAACCGATGTAGAAGCTTAAAAGCAAAAAAACTGAACAAATGTTCCATTTTTGGTAAAAGCGCTTCAATAAAGCTTCGGATTTACTGAATCAAATAAGCTTTCCAAGATTCTGTAAACTAAAAAAATTTTACATGTTGGCCTCCATAAATTGTTGGCATCTGTATGTATTGTTGAGGAATAAACATTTGTTGATTATAAAGAGCTTGTTGAGGAGTAGCCGAAAGTTGTCCCGCAGAACCCGACCCAGCAATGCCCTAAAAGCTGTCCAAAGATGTTGAAAGTGTTACACAATACTTTTTAAATCAACCGTTTTAGGAAAAAAAGCAACAACAAAACGAATAGAAGTCGGAAGCAGATCTATTATAACACAACATTAAATAATTCCAATAACCTGGATCTGGTTAGGGTCGTTCATCCTTTCTCAGTTTAGTTGGAAACAATTAGCACAAATTCAGCATCACATCAGACCGATTCAGTCGCTACAAATAAACAAAGATTTGTAAAGTAATATTAATAATTGTGAAAAGAACTGAACGATGATAAACTTTAGAGAAGTTTGATTTAATTTATTCTACTGATACAGTAAGAAAAAAACAAAAATTTCAAAAAAATTCATAAACACAGAATACGACAGGACACTAATACTTAACAGCATTTCTTCTAAACCTTCGCTCTTACGTGTAACAGTCATCTAAACACCGCGAAATTATATAGAACCTAATTTCGAACAAAAAAAAAAACTATAACAAGAAATATGACAGTGGCTAAACCCATGTGCTTACAGTTGCTCGGAACACTAAGCCAAATGAAAATGTTTCAACAAAGCGCTATCAAAGCCAACCATAAGCTGGCGTTCATCAACAGACACAAGTGCTGGACGACCAAATTCTTATGCGGCTGAAAAACTGCAGAAAGAAATTAATGATGGTGGCATAAAATTCTGTGAAAGGAATCATCGACCAAAACACCGCAGATACATCCAACAACTGTAGGGCACAACTCGTTCATGAAAAATCATGCAGTGCTAGTTCTCAGTTCTCGACACCTGCATTCCAGCGGCTTATACTAAATATAATATACTGGCGCGGATTGGGCATTTTGCCAATAAAAACGTTTCGAAAGGAAAAGTTGCAGGACTAATACTACTTGTTGGAACACAATATTAACATATGCGCATTAGATGACAGTGACATTTGGATGAGGACTCATCCTTTCGTAGTCGATATTTGCAGCAGAATATATATATTAAAACATACCACCTCTACGTTTGTTTAGGGATAGATTCCAAAAATTCTTTTGGCGGGAAACGGAAGCCTTGATTTTTTTTTTAAATTCCCTGGAAAGCAGCAGTTAGTGTCGCGGCGAATAAACTCTATATCTAGTTTTAACTTGTAATTATTGGAAGCTTGAGAGAGAAGTGAAGTTTCGAAGGAGACTCGGAACCGGGCGTTGGAGGAGTTTCTGAGATGCTAAAAACGTTTCTTTGGCGTACTAATTAGGTCCTGAAGTGGTAGCGATTTCTAGTTTTCCAAAATGTGAGCTCTAATAAACCTAATAGCACTTATTTTTTTATTTTATTTGGTTCTGCATAATTTTTTCCAAATGCTCGCATCTGTAATCTTTAAGGGAGTATGCCATTGACAAATTTTGCCATATCTGAAGCGGAATAAATGAGCGCATTGAATTTTTGTGAACGTCGGATGTTAGCAAAGCGATCGTCAGCTTGACGACTGTGTTTGCTTGCATTCACTTTGTGAATCTCACACTAGAAACCTTAGTATAACGCGTTCTTCCACCTTAATATGATGCTTCACGAGAAAATTTCCAAACTATGAAGCTTCCAAGACGTTGGATGGACCAGTTATTCTATGTTAGACACTCGCTGGACACCTGCTGCTACGCTACCCCAACAAATATTTGGATTTTGTTGATCTGCTCTTTTAATTTTTCGCTTACAGCTTTGCCCTCGCCTTCCATTCTTCTGTGTAATATGCCGTCTAACCGTTGATGGGAGTTATATATGAAAAAATCCAATGTAGCCAGTTTCTATAGATGGCTCAGTGGTCAACGAATGCAAAGGTCATATGAAATATGAAATATCATAACATCAAAATGAAGTTCATACTCTTCTTATTCTATGCCAAGAATAGATAAATCAAGATCTAGTCGGTTTGATTTTCTGAAACAGGCAGATGACCGTATTGTCAGCTTTTTTTTTTTTTTTTTTTTTTTTTTTTTTTTTTT